TGCTGACTTTGAGGTTATCAGCATAACCTCTATGCCACTAGGGCTACAATCTGAATTGATGAGGAGGAGGGCACTTAAGATGATCAAGTAGTTGGCAAAAGGAACTCACAATCTGAAAGTTTTTAAAGAGCAAGCTGCTAGAAGACAATAACTAGATAATTGGAACTCCACTCACTCACTCCCACCAATCAAGGCTGATTCATCGCGACCCCTGTGAGCTTCTGACTGTAACTGTTTACAGGGGTAGAAAGCCTCGTCTCTTTCCTGTAGAGCTACTGGTGGTTTTGAACTGCCAACCATGTGGACCACAGCCCATCACATAATCACGATGCTACCAGGGCAGAGGGGGAAGAAAGTAAAAATGACCAGCACAGCAAGATCTCCAGGGGAAACTCAAATGTGGTTTTGTTATATTGCAAAGAAAAAGAAGACATTACTTGGGATACTGATATCAGGGAGATGAAATCATGGGAATCTTTGGAAGTTGGTGCTCCAGCACGAAAGTAAACTCGCAGTTGTCCTTGATCCCACATGGTGTGATATCAGAAGAAACCTGTTGCCCCAAGACCTAGATTCAAGAAACTTTGCCATTTGTGAGCTGTCGTCTTTGAAAATGAATTCATTCCGTATCCACTCACTCAACAATATCTTTTGTGCATCAACTATGCACCTGAATTGATCTAAAGGCTGCCAACACAGTGGCATAGCTGCTTCTCTTGTGGAATTCTTGTGCCTGTTAGATAACAGATAGAGAAAAGACTGAGGTTGGCAAGCATTTCATTCTGTTTGGGTCCACAATGAATATTAATGGAAGTAGCGGGTAAAAACCCCGAATGAGGGGTTGTTGCACTGGGCACTGGGCAAAGTGACAAAGAGCAAGGCGTTTATTTTGAGTCCCAGGTGCACCCGACCAAAGTCTTTGTAGTTTCCATTCCCTCCTCTGCATGCGAAGCTTGGACAATCAATAAGGAGACAAAGAAGAATCAATGCGTTTGAATTAAGATGCTAGCAAGGAATAGCAAAGGCCTTGTGGCCTGCCTGAACAAGCAAGCTCTGTCTTGGGAGAGGTAGAGCCAGAATGCTTCTTAGAGGCAAGGATGGCATGGTCGCATCTACTGGACTTTGGACACGTTATTAGGAGAGAGCAGTCCTTGGCATAGGACATCATGCTTGGTCCAGGAGGAGGGCGGTGAAAAACATGAAGGCGTGGCTGCAACAAGGGCCTCAAACGTCACAGCACTTGTGGGGACGGCACAGGATCGGGAGGTGTTTCTGTTGTCATTCACTCACTGCCATTGGACCGACTCTGACGCTTCATGACCCTATTGACAAAAAGAAGCTTCAAAAACCAGAACAAAACCCCACTGCCGATTCCAACCCACCGGGACCCAGTAGGATAGGGTAGACCTGCCCTTGTGAGTTTCCGGTCAGGGTGAGTCAGAAGCAACTGGACGGCCTGGCACAACTCATGGAGTTTGTTAGTGTACAGGAGGAGTCAGCAACTCATTCTGAAAAGGGCTGGAGTATCCTTACAGGCTTCACAGGCAATCCAGGCTCCATAGTAATCACACAATGCTGCCCCTGGAGTGCACATGTAGCTTTGGACAATGGGATCATATGGACATTCTGTGTTCCAATAAAACTTTATTTATAGAAACAAGAGGTGGACCAAATGGGCTGGCGGCTGTAGAGTTACAAGGTCTGGTCTAGAGGAGGCAACACACATTAACCAAATAATTCGACCCCTGACAACTTGTGGAAAAGACCCTGTAGCATGAGGATCCAGAAAGCTCCCCCTCCCCCTCATTCAGAATGAGGTCATGTGGAGGAGGCTGGGAAGGGCGGAGCCAGCACAAACCACCAGGGTTTTGTAGGATGGTCAGTTTAGACTTTATCAGGTTATAGGAACCCTGGGGGTATAGTGCTTATGCCTTGGGCTGCTCACTGCAAGGGCAGCAGTTTGAAACCACCAGCGGCTCTGCTGGAGAAAGCCGAGGCTCTCTACTCCCATAAGGAGTTACAGTGTTGGATCCTGTCGTACAGGCTCACCAGAGTGGGCAGTTTGATTTGTGTTTTTGAGGTGACCACTTGCCAGTCATTGGGTTATGTAGCCATACCAATTTATTTGGCCGATGGTCCCCTTTTCAGAACAAAACCCCCAAACTCAGCACATCTTTGCAAATAATTTGTTTTTTACTTATTGGGGATATGCGGGGGAAGTTGGAGGGAATTGAGCAAATACAGAATACAGAAGGAGGAAGCGGTCCTGGAACTGCTGTGGTGTGTGTACAACCTCCTTTAATGCGTCTGAACTCTGACAGGTGCATTGTGGCTCGATAAACCTACTAGAGGAGAAGGTCGTGCTAGTAAAATGGGGCTCAGGACCAGAGGCAACTGCTCTCATATGTTTCCTTTTGAGAGAAAAATGGGATAGAAAGTAATGGGTTTTTTCCCCCATGAA